GGGGGGGTTAACAAATTGACTAGAGACACTCGACAGACTTTGGACTCGCTTTTGTCCATCCCGGCGGACGTCAACGGGTCCCCTGGTGAGGTGGGCAAAATTTGAGTGCACGCCGGTGGCATGCGTCCGTTTTCATGAGCCGACCAACTCACTTCCGGTTCTCGCGACAGCGACCGGTCGCCGGCAGGCTCCGGACGGACGGACAGAGAACGGAGCGGTCGCCGTTCGCGGCCGGCGCGCGTATGAGGCGAAAAGCAAACCCAGAAACTCGAGCGGCGGGGACTCGACGACGAAGCCTCCTTTTCGCCGCGCGTTGGCCGCTTGATGGCGTCGCGGCGGCCTCGAGCGCCAATCGGATCGACGGCGACGCGGTCGACTCCACTTACGCGGTTTCTCCTCCCGACGGCGACTTTGCCGACGCGAGGCGGCGGCTGCGAACGCGTCCGCGCACTCCTCGAATCAACCTTCGCTTGGTGACGTCAAAGTCAATCCGTCCGCGCGTCACTCGCGCCGCTTACCTGCGCCCGGCACGCGACGCCGTCGAAAAGGACGAAGGAGGAGAGCGCGGAGAGGAGCTTCCCGCCGCTGCGCGGCCGCGCGCACGTCAGCCCGAGGGCGCGCGCGCGCGTGGGCGGGCGGGAACGTCCCCGCGCATGCGCACATCCAAATTTCCAACTGAGAAAGAGCGTTCGATGAAGGTCAAATCCGAAAAACGGAAGCCAACTCTGACGGAAAATGAGGTGGCCGTGACGCCGAGCCGAGCGGATGGGCGCGGTGCCCGCAAACGGACCCGTGAAGAGTTCGACGTGCGCGGTTGGGCGCGGCATCACATCCCGACCGAGCCCCAAAATCCCAAATGACCGATCCAAATGTTGCGCAACGTCACCTGACAAGCAAAGCGCCTGGTCCACCATGAACTCGCGGCTGAACCGAATGTGGCAGAAGTTCTTCTTGCTCTTGCGCAAGGCCACGATGTCGCCGCAGGGGCCGAAGACTTCCCTGATGACGTCATCGCCGGCGTTCTCCGGAAGCCCGCCCACAAACACCGTCTTGCAGCCGGGGGGGCGCGGCCGGGTGGACGGCGGGGGCAGCTCTGGGAAACATCGGCGCGGGCCCGCCACGGGCGTCGCGTTATTCATTTGCTCCGAGAACGGCTCCGAGGGTCCGCGCTCCGGCGGTTGCGGCCGTCCTTACCGGGGTTCTGCGGGAAGAGCGTGCATCCGCCGCGGCGGACGATCTCCTTGACGCCCGCGGGGTTGCCCGGCGCCGTCGGCGGGGGCTCCGACTGAGCTCCGACGAGCTCGCAGGCTGAAAACGGGAGAAAAAGGGCGGGAAGCGCAAACTCGTTAGTCGCCCCAAGTCGGCGTGGGTGCCTTTCGCACGGGCGCCCCCTTCTGGTGTCTTCCGCTACAAGCGCGGGCGGGCTCCCGACGTCGCGGCTTCGGTGACGCTGCGGGAAGCAAATGGAAGCGAGCGACGAGGCCGTCGTGCCAAAGGTTGCCATTGGCGTCCCCGCGGCAACGGCGCCGACGCAAACAACGGCAAGGGGCAAAACGCCATCTGACCTCTGACCTCCCCGCCGCCAGAAAAGTGCCTCGGAGCCGGCCGTCCCAAATTGGGCCCGGGTGAAAGCCGGGCGCCGTCTGCCGGGGCCGCGAAATGCTTCCCCATTCTCGCGTCGCGATAAAAAAAGCAAAACGGAAGGCCTTGGCGGCAATTGTCAGGATTTCAACATCTGTTTTTGACGCTCGCGGGGCTCCAACATTTTGCCATCTTTTCATTCGACAGAAAAAAAGCGCTGAAGGGCCGCAGGTCGGATTTGAAACGATGCAACTCAGGAGACGAAAACAATGGCAAACGGGCCCCGGGCGGCAAAACAAAGGGGAAGTCCGCTGCGGCGCCAACGTGTGGTTCGCCACAGTTGGTGCGGCGGCCGGCCCGCTTGGTGGAATGACGGCAAAATGGCAAACGGCGGCTCGGACTCTTTGGGTCAATTTTCCAACGGATGCGTCAGACCGAAGCGGGAAGCGAATCGTTCGGACTTTAGCTTGCCGCACGTTGCGCAACGTCTGTTTCGAATCGGCGTCGATCCGAGTCGCGGCGACCTGCGACTTCGACCGCCGCTTTGCCGTCATTCGGGCGAATGCGCGCCACGCTTCCCTTCAATTGGCTTCAAGAGACGTTTTGGAATTTGCGGCGAGCGCGACGGGGAAAAGCGCAGAAAAACAAAGTGGCAAAAAGCCGTCCGAGCCCAGATAAGAAAAAGAGCAAAGCAAAAAAGCAGAGAGGAAAAAAAGGAAGCCTGGCAAAGATAAAAGGCCAGAAAAAAAAGGAGCGGCACGACGGGGGGAAGATAAACGAGGCGGCCCGACCACAACGTCGGGAGAACGGCTCGGTCTCCGTCCGAGCGCTAATGATGACGAGCGAGCGGCGGCGCCGCGGGCCGCGGGGCGACCGTTCGTCAACATGTTGCGCGCGATAACCCCGACAGCTCAATTACCGGCGCCCGCGGGGCCGCCGGCGGACGGCGAGCGCCCCTTCGCCGCGCTGACGTCGGCTGCGGCGAAGCGCCGTCCGTGTCGAAAGCGCGCTCGCCCGTCAAGCGGCGAACATTCCGCCGCAAGAAGCGCGGCGACGCGTCTGGACGGACGATCCTCGCGCCCCGCAAAGAACGAGCTTGACATTTGGGACAAGTTGAGGAAAAATGGAAGCGATGCACCACATTCGATCTTCCAGCAAGCGCAAGTCTTGTCAAACTGAAGGCGGCGTGTTTTTTGTTTTGTTCCTTTCATGGCCAAACAGCGTTTTGGGCGCGTTTTGACAGGCACCCAACTCGCGTGGCGGCGGGCGGTGCGGGCCCTCCCGTCCAATTAGCCCCGTTTGACGGATTCATTAGCGCCGCGTCGCGCGACAGCATTTTACTCGCATTTACCTCGACGACGACAACAAAAACATCTGCTTAGGCAAGAAGAATAGTCATGAGCGAGCCTCGCTCACGTCGGCGCCGCCGTCGCGGACCGCTAACAGCCGCGCCTAATATTCGGACCCTCCCGCGTGCCGCTCAAAGCAGAAGACATCCATGGTCTTACCGTTGAATGACAGCCGCCAATCAAAAGCGTACCTAATGGGGTGGCCTCGGCGGACAGGAAGTTGGCCGAAAGCAGTCGCCGCGGCAACAGAGACGCCGCGCCCATGGCCGAGGCCCACTCAGGAGGAGGCGCCGGGCCGTTGGCGGCCGCTGCGTGGAAACACACACGCGCGCGCACACACACAAACACGTGAGACAACACACAGGCGCACCTCCAACACCCACGGAGGGGTG